GGTAGTAAGGACCATTTGGATATAAAACCAGATTGTTGACATCGGATGACATCGACCTCCAGAACGGCCAAAGTTGGCCCAGGCGGGGGCGCTGCTGCCGGTGCTGGGCGTGGCACCTTTGGCCCAAAAAAGCTGCGCAGGATTGTGGCTTGTACGTCTGTTGTTTATGGGTCGTGATTCAGTTTGGGCTGTCTAGCGTCTTGTTTTCAGCCTGGTTTTCATTCTAAGTTTTGACTACCATAAAGCCCCAAAGTAGTTCCTTTTTGGGGTTCATATATAGAATCCTATAAGGTAGTCCCAAAAAGGAACTAGTTTGGGGCCTATGGGTAGAGGATCCCATTGGGGGGTTGGACGGGTCTTATGGAGCTCGTTAGGGCCTCTACAGCGTTTTACAGCTTAGACGACCAAAGTAGCCGAGAATCGGGTACTTGGATTTTAGGGTATGGACAAAGGCAAGAAACCGAAATTGTGGGGCAGCATTTTTATTATACATCTCAGAGTAGTTTGCTATCGTATGCTTATGAACTTTAGGGTAGCTTAAGTATGGCTACTTGGACCTCTTCGACTCGTGGCCAGGACATGGGAACTTCAGCAAGTCATCAATTGCTCACAACTCTTAAACATTCCGTGGGCTACGGCAAGAAAGAAAACACAACGTTTACCAAGGGAGAGCAGATAATCCCGAAATCTTACAGCCCCATACATAAAACGCTGGAAAGTCTAAACCCTGAAACCATCAAGCCCAAACCTCTGTAGCCTTAGACCATGACATCGGGGATCTTGAAACCTCTTAAACCCTAAGCCCTGGAATGCGCTCCCTCCCCCCCGTGTCCCTCCCCCACGAAACTTTAAACTCCGACACAACCCTAACAGAAACTGTGGCAAATCACTGTGTATTTATGTACATATGATATATATGTATATATATATATATATATATATATATACATATATATATATATATATATATATATATATATATATATATTATATATATATATATGTATATATATATATATTATATATATATATATATATATATATATATATATGTGTATATATATGTATATATATATATATATGTATATATGTGTATATATATATATATATATATATGTATATGTACATGTAAACATATGTGTGTATGTATGTATGTATGTATGTATGTATGTATGTATGTATGTATGTATGTATGTATGTGTGTATATATATATATATATATAGATGTATACATACATACAAATGTGTGTGTGTGTGTGTGCACCACCATGAAACCCGAAGACACACACAAACCCTACACAAGCTCCATGACATCATCTAAAGCTCTCAACTTCTGCGGCTCCAGGCTGCTTTGGAAGGCATCCCAGGGTGCATCCGCTGCAGCTGCCGCTGGTGTGGCTGCCGCCGGGGGTGCACCTCCAGCAGTTTGGATTTTCGGAGTATCAGGGGTCTGGGGGCTTATGGGCCAAGGGCTTCGGGTTTACGATTCATGGATTTGCTTTGTCGGCTTGTCTCCGTTTTTGGTGATTCGAGTTTGAAAGTTGTTACTACGGTTTTGGGGCTTAGAGGCTCAGGGTTCAGGGTTGACTATTTAGATTTAGAGTCTCTAGAGATCTCGGATGCAGCAATCGGTGTTGTATGTGGGCGAGCAACGGGCTTGGCCAGTGAGTAAGACATGGGAATTTCAGCACCTCCAAACAATTCTACTTGCTCTTCAAGCGTCTCGGACCTCACTAAGGGTCTCAATCCGAGACCCTTGGCCTAAACCCTAGACCCCAGAACCCCCAGCTATTAAACTCCTACGCCCTGACCCCAAAAACCCTTATTGCATCAAAAAGACCTGAGAAAACACGCCAACACCAATCGAAGGAAAACAAACTACACACTACCAGATATTCATCGTTTGAATCATGCGAGAGCGCCATCCCCATGAGGCAAAAAAACTACGGATTTCGATGTTTCAGCGTCAAAGATTCAAGTTTCTGGATCGAGGGGGGCTGGGGGCTTTGGGTTAAGGTTCCTCGACGCACTCCGCATCAACTTGCTCTTCATCTCCCACTCCTACTTCCTAAACCCCCGCCCCGCAGTCCCAGAATCCTTTATGAAAGCCCGAAGCCCCCAAAAAATTCCCCAAAGCAAAGCACTCCAAGCCTTCCAACATAGAGCCAAGTCGCGCCTTACGAAACCCTAAAGCCTAAACCCTATAAACCCTAAACCCTATAACCCTATAACCCTAAACCCTAAACCCTAAGAAAGAGACCTGGACCTCATTTTTCAAGGATTGGTGTCGAGCAAGGGTTGGGCTAGAGTACTATGGGGGCCTCAATCGTTACCTATACTATTTGGGGGGGTTCCTTATTATAATAATTACAGTATATTGAGGGTGTTTAGAGCGTAGTTTCTGGAATTTGGGCCTCTTGGTTTCAAGATTCACATGGCTTAGGGCTGAAGAGACGTACTCATTCATTGGAGCCTCCCAACCCTATACTGAACTTAGAAACCTGGCAAAAATTGTAATTTTAGCTGTTTCTTAGGGATCATAATCACCAAAAATTTGCAATTATTTCTAAGTACCCCTAAGAACAGTGCTAGGCCATAAACCCTGAACCCGAAGCCGCCTCCCTGCTGGGGCGGGGATGCAGCAAACGGATCCCAGCTGGGCGCGGACGACGTGGCCTCGGCTTTGGGTTTAGGGTTTAGGGTTTAGGGTTTAGGGTTTAGGGTTTCTTTCTCTGGTGAAAGAACTTTTTTGCAAAGCAGGGGCCTTAATAGTTAGGATAGGGTTTTGGGGCCATGATACTAAAACTATAATAAGGAACCCCCGAAATAGTATACAAAGCTTCAAGCAAGTCTCTCTAAGATCTCCATAAACTGTTCTGTGTATAAGACCTCATTACGGACGATTGTTTAAAGGGTGGGTTGAAGGTTTTGTAAGGTTTGGGGGAGGTGTAAGGTTTCATGTCATAATTATAGGGACCCTTAGGGGGGTAGGCCTTGTTAAGTCCTTATCATAGGAATTAAGGTCCCCTACCCCCCTACCCCCCCCAAGGGTCCTTATGACATAAGCAAACCTCAAGGCCTGAAACACTGGTGAATGGATCCGGGTTTAGGGCTTGGAGCATGGGCCCCAAATTAGGGTTTTCGGTTTAGGACTGAGGATTGAAAGGTCTGTAGCTTACATAAAGGATCAGGGGACTTAGTCAGTAGGTCGGTTCAGGATTCAGACGCCTTGCTGCTTCACCGTGATATCGTCCTTTATGGGAATACTCCATGGGCTTAGGGTCAGAATCCGGCGCACACTTTTTGATACAATGATTGATAAATGCGAGGACGAGGTCATGCGACGGCGCTTCAGATCTGCGCGGATTCAACTCAGCACGTTGCACTGCTGTGATGCTTTCGGGCCTGGCCGGCCATGGCATAACCACAGCAGCTGGACGGACTTGGGCCCAGCAGGATTTCGTACACATACGTTTTTGATTAGGAAGACACATAATGCGGCGTGTGTATGTATATAGTCATTAAGTTAAGAATATGCAGGTATTACATGAAATTACCTCGGCATTGCTTTACTCGGGCAAACTCACCAACTAGATCCTTGCAGGCCCCCCTGCAGACGAACTGGGTCTCGAATCTCCCTCCTTGCGTGCGTTTGTATATGTGCATATGTGGCCGAAACCAGCATCATAAATAGATGATATGTACATATATATATATATATTTTATATATACACATGTGTGTATCTGTTTATTTGTGCAAATACGCATGCTTAATGTTTGCCTTCAGGAAACACTGCCTATATCTATATCTATATACAGATACAGATATAGGTAAGACCTATATATATACATATATATATATATATATATATATATGCATCTGTATATACTATATAGCATACAGTGTGTGTATATATATATATATATGTGTATATATATATATATATATATATATATATATATATATAATACACACACACACATTGTTGCACCAGCAAAACCTACAGGTTCACGTATGTGCTATGCGGGTGGGATTCTTGAAATGCAGCCTACTGAGCTTGCTGTCTCTTTTTCCAGCCGCTGGGCACGAATGCCCACAAAATCACTGGCCTTGGCGAAAGCTGATTAAAAAAGCTGGAAACCAAAAAGCTTGGGCAGCGGCGCGCTTCGGTGCATCGATTCGTGCCGCTAGCTTCACGCAAGCTAGGGCAGCATCGCAAATGCATATTCAGGGTACGCCCTCAAACCCCAAACCGTATACCCTACAACTTCGTAAAGCAGCGTTGGTGCCTAACCCACGACTCTCCCCTGCCGGAGCCACAAACAGGCCCTGCAGTGGGTTTAGGGCTTAGGTTTCGAGGTTTAGGGATCCTGAACACAGCTGCGGCTACCAGCTGGCACTTGAACGTGCCGAAACCTTCAAATGGTGCCGGCCTTGGCATTGCGATGCCCATGTTCAGGCAAAGCTTCCGCAAAAGCCCGCTTCAATGCTCTTTCAGAACCGAATCCCTCAAAAGATACTTCTATGTGCTTTGAAGTTCAGGGAGTTGGGGCTTGCCCCTAGATCCCTAAGCCCTATTTAGCCCCTGCCCCCTACACCCTAAACCCATGTCCATGTCCGGTCTCAGTTGGCCTCAACCAGCCTTCGTCGTCTCCATTTCAGAAGCAGAACAAGCTTTAAAACATGACTCTGACCTGAGAAAAGAAGTCATACCAACCCTAAACCCTAAACGCTAACACCGCCCTCTTAAACGAAGTCCTACCAGGCAGCCTTTCACTGATAAAAAAAGCCTAAACCCTAACCCAAAACACCATATCCCCTTTGTGAAGGAATCTTACCAACCCTATACCCCTTTGTAACATCCCCTTTTGAGTCTTACCAACCCTATAACCCTTTTGTAATATCCCCTTTTGTGAAGGAGTCCCACCAAGCAGCCTAAACCCCAAACCCCAAACCCTAAATCCCAAACCCTAAACCCTAACGCCCTAAACCCTGAACCTCAAACCACAACCCTAAATCCCCTTATATCCGCCTTCTTAAATCCCCTTATATCCGCCTTCTTAAAAGGACTCCCGCCAAGCAGCCTTTCACTGAGCTCCCAGAGCTTGCGGCAGCGGGCGTTGTCGGCCGCTTCGCCTCCGATCTCGTCCACGGAAAGAGTGCGGAAGCTGCCATAGTTCATGAACCAATCGAGGTCCTTTAAGTGGGTGTAGGGTTTAGAGGTTATAGGGGGGTGTGGTTCATGAACCAATCGAGGTCCTTGAAGTGGGTGTAGGGTTTAGGGGTTATAGAGTAGGGTTGGGGGGGGTGTGGTTCATGAACCAATCGAGGTCCTTGAAGTGGGTGTAGGGTTTAGGGTTTATAGAGTACGTTTGGGGGGTGTGGTTCATGAACCAATCGAGGTCCTTGAAGTGGGTGTAGGGTCTAGGGTTTATAGAGTAGGGTTGGGGGGGTGTAGTTCTTCAACCAATGGAGGTCCTTTAAGTGGGTTTAGGGTATTGGGTTGAGGGTTTCGGGATTAGGGTTTGGGGCTTGGGGTTTAGGGCATCTGGGGTTTCTAAGGTTTAGGTTTCGCATTAAGGGCTTGGGGTGTATGGTTCATGAACCAATCGAGGTCCTCTTAGGGTTTCTATATAAGAATCAGGGATTTTATATGGTTCTGTAAGGGTTCATGAACCAATCGATGCCCTTTGAGAGCTATCAGGGGTGTAGAGATATAGGGCTTAGGGTTTATAATGAACCAATCGAGGTCCTGTAAGAGTTAGGGCTTAGGGTTTGTAGGGTCGGGCTGGGGGTGTGTAGCCTATGAACCAATCCAGGTCCTTCAGGTTTGGGTTTAGGGTTTAGGGTTTAGGTGCCATAGTTCATGAACCAATCGAAGTCCTTTACGGGCCATAAACTTAGGGCTTTTGGCTTTGGTTTTTGGTGATATCGGAGTTTTGGGTCTTGGGTTATTATAGTTTGAGGGTGCTTTTGTTTATAGTTCAATGAGGGTTCCTGAACCACTCGCGGCTTTACTTTGTCGCAGTATAGAGTCCTTCCTGTATGGCGCTCCTTTAAGAGTCAAGGCTTACGCTTTAATTATCGCGTTGGGTTTTGGTCCATGAACCAATCGAGGACGTTTGAAGGGTCCAGCTTGCATGCTTCTTTTCTTTGGGATTTGGGGTTTCGGGACATGACCCGCTACGGGCCATAGTGGGTTTAAAAGATAAGGCCTATAAAGTCTTTGCAGGGGCCGTGAACCAATCGAGGTTCTGTTTAGGGTTTAAGGATTCAAAGTTCGGGGCTTAGGTGCGTCTCCTTATACTTAACCCGGAGAGTGCGTATATACGCCCAGCATGGAATTACTTAGGTCCCCCCCAAATCATCCTGACTATGGCTTTTTGGATCTACACCCATAATAGTAGTGTAGTGTGTATAGACCCTCTGGATAAGTGTTCCATAAGGGTTTCCTGTGGTTGTGACATGATCTGTTACGTTTCATAAGTGCGCTCTTAGGGTGTGGGCTGTTTGTTCGTGTACCATTCGAGATTGTCTCAGGGTTCAAGGAGTCAGGGCTTTTTGGGCTCTGCGGTTCTGGAGTTTAGGGTCTTAGCTATCGTGCATGAACCCATCGAGGTCCTCTGTCTCTATTCGGCTGACGGTTTCGGCTAGGTTTTTGCAGGGTGTTCAGGAATTTATGAAGGCCGTATGCTCTCATCAACCGAACCTGATTCAGTGTAGCACCGAAACATACGGTCGAAGCGGTGAAAGAACGAGAGAAAAAACCGTGTCCCTTGAGGCACGTGGAATAAAACCCCCCGAGAGAAGAAAACCCCGGCAGCGCAGGATGCGGCTTGTGAACCGAACCTATCAAGGTCCTCCGGCTCTCAATCTACGAATGTAGAAATGCAGTTGAAACTGCGGAGTTCTTCACATGACGCAAGGATTCTCGCATAACTAAAGGGTGTTAGTCGCCACACTTGGAGTAAGTTACGTAAGAGTGCACGATACGAGAGGCGAAGACATATGGGAGTTTACGAAAATTAGGGGTACCGTATTTGGCGGTCCTTCAAGCAAGGATCCACTATTTAGTGAACTATATTAGAGTCCCCTATTTTCTGCAACTCCCATATTCAAGAAGGACCTAGCTGAGTCTGCAAGACTGTTGCGCTTCGAGCTCTGCAGGTGTACCTTGGCCTTCTGGGCTTCACATACAGCCCCAAATAGCCGTGAAGTGTAACCCTAAGCCCTTAACCTCAAACCCTAAAAGCCTAAAGCCCAGTAAAATGCCCTTGCCCCTGACTTTCTGAAACTCTTCAGTCCTTCTCTCTGTTCTCCACGGCGTCCTTGCCGCCGCTGCCTCCAGTGCCGGCCTCTCCACCCCAGCTGTAATACCTTGGGTCTCGAAAAAATAGCATTTGGGCAGGACTAGATGTGGCGGGATATGCCAGGCTGCCGCATGATTACGGGGCTGTAGAAGGACTTTACAAGGGTTTATGGTGGTTCTTCACTTTTGAGCTCCTTTTTGGACAAGGGTGAAAGGGGTAGGCTTAGGATATTGGATTTAAAAGGGGGGTACGGGTGTCGGCAATTCAGAAGACACTCTAGTCTGTGCCTCTTAGGGTTCGGAGCGGGAAGTTACAACATGGCTTGAAGGATTTAGGGTGTTGGGGTGTCAAAGGTTGTTGAGCCTCTCGGTCATAATCATCATGCGTCAACAAACACTCTCCCATTGCGGCAGCAGTCTAGCACGTCGCGGGCATGAGGTTCGGAATGGTAAAACCTGCAATCTCAACCCGAAGTTCTGCACCCTCAAACCCCAAACCACAATAGATCCTCACAGGGGACCCTTAAAGGAACCCTATCTTTTGCAGCCCGGCTGCGATCCAGAGGTGGCGTAGCGCTCATCTGCCACACAGGCAGCCAAACGCTTACCCGCCTCTTCCTGTTTGGAGACGGGGGAGTTTGGGGTTTAGGGTGTAGGACTATGGCTGTAAGGGCTACTGTCAGGGGTTAGGAGGAGCTCAATCGGGTATGTAGTGTGATGCAGGGTCACGCAGAGGCCTTCCCAATGGGACTAAGAATAGGGTTTATGGAGTAAGCGCCTAAGGCTTTCGGCTTTAGAGTTTATTGGCTTCGTGGTTAAGGTTTTAGGTTTAGGGATGAGTGTTTTGAATCTAGTGCTGGACTCTCACAAGATCGCCGCATAAGCCTGGCCTGGCTCACATAGGCCTTGGTCACGGTCTTGTGGAAAGCCGGGAAGAGGCTCTGGAAGAGGGGGTAATGCTCTCGGAAGAGGCCAGTCTCTGCGATGCAGCCGGGGTAGAGGGAGGTAAAGACGATACCAGTCTCTTGGTGATAACGTCGATGCAGCTCCTAAACCCAGGTTCTACATCGTGCCTCATGTTTTGGTTTAGGGCTATTGGCTTACATATACGGATATGGCTGTCGTCGTAATCCATAGGTCAAGACGGCTAAGGTCCAAATATTACTAATCAAGATCCTAAAGACGGAGAGTCGTAACAACCCTGCCCAAGGTCTCCCCTATAGCTCGTTTTGGGCTAGCCAATACTATGGTTAGGATTAAAAAAACCCAAAACAAACAAAGTAACCAAACAAATATGCAATGGCGACTGTAGTAAGCCCGGCTCCTTCATCAGCATCACATCGCAGACCTTGCTGTCCTTGTACGCCTTTGCACCATCAAACTCCTCAAAGGGCTCCGATGGTAGGATGAAGGTAAGTCGGGCCAAAAAAAAGCTCTGTGTACCGTGTACAACGGATCCTTAATCAACCCCTGAACCCTGAAGCCGTAGAGCCGTAGGCCCTGGACCGCAAAGCCAAATAGTCTAAAGCCCTGGACCCTACCGAAACCCTGGCCCTACACTTCGAGACCCTGAAGTGCAATAACTCCTGGCCGTCCAGCATTGTGACGGGGGCTTTCATGCCTTTCTCCAGTCCCTCCTCGGTGGAGCTGCGTTTCGGGGGGTTTAGGGTTAAGGGGTTAAGGGTTGGATTGCGCTTCACACGACCCTAAGCCCGAGACACTGAACCCTAAGGCATCAACCCAAAAGTGTGAATAGCCTTAAACTGCTGAACGTTTGTGTCTAAACCCATACGCCCAAATCCTGAAACACCGAACATCCCTTGAAGCCCTCAACCTCATCTATGTGTATGTGTGTATATATATATATATGTATATATATATATGTATATATATATATATATATATATTATACGTAGTGTGATGTCTAGATAACCCGAAAATCTACATGCTTCCATATGCGTTTGCTTGTGCATACTGATAAACAACCTCTCACCGAAATGTTATGGGTGGATGGGCTTCCAGCTTGCGATTAATGACTTTGGGCTCGAAGGGGCCCTCAAACCCTAAACCCTAAACCCTAAACCCTTAACCCTTAAACCCTAAACCCTTAACCCTAAACCCTAAACCCTAAACCCTTAACCCTTAAACCCTAAACCCTAAACCCTAAACCCTAAACCCTAGAAAAGGACCCCAAACCATGGGGCTGAAGATTTAGGGTTCAAGGACCACTGCTGCAGGAATCTTAAACCCCTAACCCCTCCCAAACCCTATTAACTAACCCAAACCCGAAACTCCTAAAAAGCCCTCTGAAACCCTAATCCCTCTCAGCTCTGTTTGTGAAAAGGCCCCCCTTTTTTCTTCCAATGGACCCCAAATGCAGCTCAGCTGCCAGGTCTCCTACGTGAGCCAACGGCGGGATCATGCCACCCAGCTCCTTGGCTTGCGGATTGGGTCTTGCAGTTTTGTGTTTTGGGTTTAGGGTTTTAGGGTTCAGGGATTGCAACAGGGATTGCGAAAATTTAGGGCTCAGGTGGGCTTTACTATAGGTAAGGTTAGTGGCGTTTTGGGCATACAACTGCAACTGCAACCTGATCCTCTAGGACTCATACTTTCAAGCTGTTGATGCCGAGCAGCATACTTTGCTAGTTACTAGGTCTTGTGCCGGGTTGAGCTCTAGGATCAGGGTAGAGTTGGGTGTACAAATGCCACGAAGGAGTCAGCCAATCGACAGCAGGGGAAGACTGTGACAGGGGTTTCGGGCTCAACAGCAAACAGCGAGGTCACGAGTGATGCTAACAGACGGCAGTGGGAGAGTAGGAAGTAGGAGTTCGGTCAAGAAGAAGAAGAAGTCGCAGTCTAATCAGTCATACAAGAAGTTCGAGCAAACCTTCACAGCATGGACACCAACAAAATCAACAACCACAGCGCCACTGGTTTGTGTGTGTGTGTTATATATGTCGGAGTCTAGTGATATGCCGACTGGTCATTATGGAACAAAGCGGTGTTGGCAGTATTGACAAGACCATGATAAGCAAGAGCATGATAGGAATAAACAACTACAGCTTTGGTAAGACGATGTGAGACTCGCGGGAATACAGAGGACACAAGCAATGCTGTGGACGCTGAAGGGGGCCAAGAACGAGAATTTGGTATCGAATCGCGTCGACCGCGAATTTCTACTCAGCATTACTACTGAATATAGGGGCCTTTAATAATTAGACGAGAGTTTTTTGGCATATTGTACCATAATTGTGATAAGGTAACCTCAAAATTGTATTGGTAATCATTGAAGCCCCTGTGGTGGATACAAAGCAGACTTCCGCAACCAAAGGTCCGCACCGTTCACAGTGGCGGTGACAGTGCCCAGGATCACGCAGCGGGCCGGCTTGGAAGTGCTTCGCTTGAGGTCCTCTCAAACTAGAAACGGGAACCTGCAGACAAGGATTTGGGTTCAAGGTTTCGGATTACAGCTCAGGATAGATCGGATAGGTCCTCCAGCAGCAGGTTGCAGAGCAGGAAGTGTCCCAGGTAGTTCGCCGCGAAGCTCATCTCGCGACCCTCTGCAGACCAGCGAGGACCTCACCGAAAGGCGTAAAGCAGGGGCCTTAATGATTAGAATATAGGGTTTTGGGGTCCATTCCACTAAAAATAAGCTAAGGAACCCACAAAACAGTATTGGTACTTATTATACGACATCACAGGTCTTTGGCACCCGAAAGGCTACACAAATGGCTGGCCTTTTGACCCCCGGGAGATTTTTTCGGTAACCGGCCTGCTGGTAAAATCCGTCTTATCTTGAGATCCGGTTGCCAGGCATTTGTGTAAAGAACAACGGCGACGCCAAACTGCAATAACCGAGGTCAAAAAGCCAACTGCCAGCCTTTTGTGATGGTGGATTCCTTCTTCCCTCATCCTCTCTCCTTCTCTCCGTCTCTCCCTACCTCGTCCTCCCTCTATCCCTCTCGCTGTCTCGCTTTCCTTCTCCCTCGCTTTCCCTGTTGTTCACGTTCCCTCTGACGCTGGCGCTCTCGCTCTCTGGCTCTCGAGTGCTCCTTCTTCCTCTCCCGTCGCGCTCTTTCCAGAGACAAACCCTTTCGAAGAGGTGTGCCATCTACTCGTGCAGCTGTGTTTTCCCCACCTCCTTTGCACGCGAGTCCTCGATCCATCTGTACATCATCCACCAGGCCGCGCACGAGTTCAGCATAGCATGATGATGATGTGTATGCTACACTTGCGGGCGGGCCATGTTTCAGGGCCGACGGGGAGCTCAGGGTCCCAGAAGTTGCGCCGCTCCGGTCCTGGATGTTCGGGACTTGTCCCGCTGTACAGCATAGCACCCGCCAGGGCTTCTCGTGAGTTCAGGGGCTTACTTGGAGGCCCTTTTGACTTAGTAAGTCTACTTAGAATCCCCTATAAACCCCATTATAATCCCCATAACCCACCTTACTAACCCTACTTACTAAGTCAAAAGGGCCTCCAAGTAACTTACACTGGGCCTAGGTTACACAGAGGCCTTTGGGTTTGGGGTACTCAAGGACTCCGAGATTGCAGGAAGTTGTGCCACACTCCGGCCCTCCATGCTATGCACATCTACGGACTAGTTTCTCATGCAGAAGACGCCGCCGAGTCATATTGTCTCCACGTCCATTTCACAGCACGTGCCAGCGCGTCTGCCTGAGGCACAGGTGGCAGGCACGACAGAGACATGTCAGATCCCCATCCATATACCCTGAAACCCCTTTGTGGCCGGCCTGTGTCGGCAGCCCATCTTCGCTCCACCGGAAGGTCTGGCTGTACGAGTGCTCGCCGTTGCGGTAGTGTGCCTGATAGGTTCTCGTCGGCACACGACGTTGGATGCGCGAGTTCGGGACAATGTCCGCCCTCTCAGCTGCCGGAGTGCTCCATGCACCAGGTTCCAATGGGACATAGACAGTGCTCGAAGACGCTGTAGCACTTCGCTCCAGCAGAAGTTCCCACGCAGCATCTGAATTCTCGTCAGCGGCGTCTGAATTCTCGGCCGCAGCACCACCATCTGAGTCCTCGGCGTATGGATCGCGGGCATGCACGTATGTGTACGCCAGGTTTAAAGGGGTGCAAGGGTTCAGGCACCAGAACACAGATCCCTGGCACACGCGTATAGTACACATATATATATATATATATATATATATGTGTGTATATATGTATATATACATGTATATATATATATATGTGTATACATATATGTATATACATGTATATATACACATATATGTATATGTCACATATGTCATATGATAAACAATATGTATACAAACAAATATACATATTATACATATATATATATATATATGCAATATTTAAATTCGGGGCCGGCGGGGCTGGCCCCCGAGCAACGAATCAACACAGGTCGCTGGCACACGTGTGTAATATATCACACAGGTGCCGTGTGCAGCCAAGTTACATAGTTTCTCACCAATGGGCCACCAGGCATACCCTCTCCACCCAGCTCGTCTTCCTCACACTGCGAATCAACACAGGTCGCTGGCACACGTGTGTAATATATCACACAGGTGCCGTGTGCAGCCAAGTTACATAGTTTCTCACCAGTGGGCCACCAGGCATACCCTCTCCACCCGGCTCGTCTTCCTCACACTGGCCATCTCCCACAGGAGCCAAAGGGGCTGTGTGATCTTCTGCTTCCTCATCCTCCTGCTCCTCCTCCTGCTCTGGCCGCAGCTCACCCTGAAGGGTGAGATCCTGCCTGTTGAAGTTGGCTAGAAAGTACCCCTTCCGTTCACGGCCTTTCGGAGTAGGGAGGAGTTTGCGCCCACCATGTTCAAGAGGACTGCTGTTTTGCATCATCCAACCCCTAGGCATCTCAGCTCCCAAAGCAATCCTCACAACGAAGGATGAGATCGGTTTGGGACTCGACTGCCCAGACTCTGAATGCAAGAACCGTGCGAACTCGCGGTCCATTATTCTGTGCATACACTGAGGCAGAGCCCTCCACTCCCGGGAAGCACCAGCAGCACCGAGGGATGTATCCTCGAATTGCCATACATAGTGGATGTAGCCCGGCGCGGCCGATTCCAGGATCTCTGCGAAGCAGGGTGGCTGCAACCGCAGAAGGGGATCACTGTCGACATGCTCGATGTCTTTGGTCGTTTGGCGATGCTCCTGCACGCATGGCAGGCACACCAGAGGGGCTTGCAGGATGTCTTGGTTTCACAAAGTTTGGAGTTTGGGGCTCAGTGTTTCCAGGGAAAAAACGGCCTCGACGAAAGTAGACAGGTCGCGCCCGGCCATGCGTGCCATCTCAGCCTCAGGGACGTATCCAGTGGCCATCCACGCGCC